CAATTAATAGAGTGGGTAATAGAGTTTATATTTATTGTATTTCATTGGTTCCAAGATGGATTTTTTCTCCAACAGTGAACAGCTGTGGAATTGGGTCATGTCTTACAATTGCTATAATCCAGGAAGCATTCATGACATAGTGGAAATTGTCATTGCTTACCCATGAAAACTTGCAGAATGGGTGTCTGTGCTTGGAAGAGAATTCTTAAAACATCACTGGACTGTATTTAAAAGAACTGCTCTTGGTGGAACAGAGGATAGTATTGTGTGAAAAAATACAGTTATTGATAACTTTGAGTTAGAAAGTGATTTTGTAATGAAGATGAGATCAGACTGAAGTAGGGTGGGCCCCTAGTTGAAGATGACTGGTGACCTTATGACAAGAGGAAATTTTGACAGAGACACACACAGAGAATGCCTCTTCCAACCCCTCTGCCCTCCCCAGGGGAGGGGGTGATGCCTTTGACTGATGAGTTTGGGGGAACTGGCAGAGTGCTTTAACCCCTTTCTCTCTTTATATCTGCCTGGTCACAGAGAACATGGATTCCCGTTTGCTCCTGGCTGAGTGGTGAGCTTCTCAGATAGACTCTGTGCCTGTGTCAGCTCAGTGCTGCCTATGTGTTGGGTTGGTTCATCTAACTGAATGGTAAACATTAAAAGACCCAGTTAGATGAACCGACCCAATCCAGGCAGCAGTGTGGTCTGCAGCTTCTCTTAGGTTACATCATCCTCCATAGAAAGGGGGTAGACTAGGGCCTAAATGATTTCTAATTCTCTTCCAGCTGTAATTTTCTATGTTCCCTTCATGGCCTGTCGCAGAATTAAGACTTTCAAGTGTAGGCTCAGAATATATTCCTTAAAAATCATTTTTAATTGTATAAGTAATATACAGGGCTTTTACTTTATAAAAATTATACAATTCTATTAACTGACCCTCAGATTAGAGGGCTGAGATTAATAAATTTTAATTTATGTATCATAAAACAACTTAGTTTTTTATGAACATATGATTTTAGGATTGCTTAGTCAGGCTTTAGTCCTATATGAAACTTGAGAAAATTGACTAAGAAAATTAGTTCTTTTTAATAATGTTTGATATATAGTCTAATTTGCCAATACCAATTCACCCACTTAAAGTAAACATATCTACCCTAACAACAGAAACAAAACAAAATAAAGCAACACAATAAATTCTGGGCAAGTGCCATGATTCTGTCCCTCTGTCCCTCCCTCCCTCCCTCCCTCCCTCCCTCCCTCCCTCCCTCCCTTTTTCCCTCCCTCTCTTCCTCCTTCCCTCCCTCCTTCTTTTCTTCCTTCCATTGCATTTAGGGTGGTAGGCACTCTGCAAGGTATCAAAGATATAACAGTGCAAGACAATCAACAATATTTTCATGGAAACTTACAGTCCAGTGAGGGAAACAGATATAAATCAAATAACCTAATGGATGATTATTACATATAATGTTATTTTCTTCGATGGAAATGTATAGAGTGCTATGCAAGTAACTGATATGGTAGAGGAGAAAGACTTCTGTTTGAGCTAAGATCCACAGCAAAAATGGAACTAAGTGGTGCAAGGGACACTGGTGGGAATGTACTTGGCAGGGGGAAGAGCTGTTAGAGGAGAGAGAGAGAGAGAGTGAGAGAGAGAGGCCAAAGCTGAGGCCGCAGGGATGCTGGTGGCAGTCAGCCAGGCGGGACTGTGGGGTCCATCCTAAAGACAAGGAGAAGTCATTGAAACTGGAAGCCAGAGAGGCATCATCAAATTGGCATTATAAAGATGATGTTGTGGTATGAAAATAAGTTTAGACCATATACTGAGAGTAGATATATTGAGATGAATGAGAACATTCCAGAAATAATTTAGGCTGGATATAGCAGGGGTTTGTGCTTAGGGAGTGTGTGATGGTGGGAAGGAAATACATCAAGCTATACAATGAATGAAATAATCATTAAATTTAAATGTAACAAAGACTCATGTACTATTTCAGGAGAATTGATTCAGGAAATAATCATTTAAATAAATATTGACATATTCAACCCAGTCATTCTCTCTCCTTTAGGGAGTGTTAACAGAAGCCTAGTAAAACATAGAATTGAGACATCATCATGTGTAAACAGCCAATGTGGCTTATTTAGATCCTAATCCCTACATGTTCCTTTTAGCTGCGTAGACAGTCACTGACTGTGGTTTTCAACTTAAGTACTCAGAGTTCCTTTCTTGGATGATGACTCTTCTGGAAACTATTCTAAATTCATTTACTTTAAACATAAGGAACCATTTCCAAGAAATAACAGACTTTTTTTGGCAGGAATTTTTATCACCAGAAACTCAGACTTTTTACAGAATGTAACAAATAAGTAGTATAAATATAGCATACTCAAAGGGAATTTTAATTTCAATTAAAGTCAACCCCCCATTTTAATACAAGTCTTGTTAAAAATATCTCCACCTCCGAAGATGATTGCAACTTTAGTGTAATGTCCTCCACCAAAAGCCAGAAGTATCTGTGATCCAATGTCAATGTAACATCTTCAGTGCAAAAAAAGTAAGGCAAACGTCAATGAATAATATTTTAGAGATGAAAATGGTGGGAAGCATTTTAATAAATTGATTTGTTACATGATTTCAGAGAAGTTATTTGGAAAAGAATCTCTCTTTTTGGATACTCATGGAATTTATCTCTAATAAGGAACAATGTTTAACATAAAGTTCTATTAAGGTGTTAGAAATTAACTCCAAAGGCTAAATATCAAGCCATATACATGAATATCTACATAAAGACTCTAAAAATTGCAGGCCATCTTTAGTTTATAAATATTTCCTCTCTTACTACAATCACTGGTGCATCCTTTCTTTCCAGGATGTTATGTGAAACAATAAGCTTTCTGTTGATTCTCAAATTTATACTGAGTGGGCCTTCATTGGATTCTAAAACTTCCCTAAGGCCATCTACCCCCACCCTTGACCTTCAAGACAACCTTCCTGCTCCACCCTGGAAGACCTATTGTTCCTGCTGTTGTAGGCTCTGCTTTCCAGCCAGAATCCATGCCTCCTCTTCTCATTTCATTTTTCCAGGGATATGCATTTCACATTGCACACTGTGATAGTTAATTTTTCATGTCCACTGGACTGGCTAAGGGATGCCCAGATAGTTGGTAAAACATTGTTTCTGGGTATATCTTTGTTTGGAAGAGATTAGCATTTGAGTCAGTAGACTGAGTCAAGAAGATCCACTCTCTCAGGTTTAAACAAGAAACCAATCCATGAGGGCCCAAATAGAACAAAAAAGGGTGGAAGGGCAAATGGTCTGTCTTCTCTTGGACTTAAGATGTCCATCTTCTGCCCTCTGACATCAGAACCTTCAGACTCAGACGGAATTATGTCATTGGCTTTCCTGGCTCTCCAGCTAGCAGAAGGCAGACTATGGGACATCTTAGCCTTCATAATCCTGTCCAATTCTCATCATAAATCTCCCCTTACGTATATCTATATATCCTATTGGTTCTGTTTCTCTGGAGAACCTAATCCATACCCTTAGCCACAACTGTGAGTGGCTGAGGTATTGTCATCAAGGCTATCTTTTTGGATGTTAGTACACACTCTAAGATCTAATGCCAGATGCTGCCCAGCACTCTCATTTCCTCTTATCATTTTTTAAAATATTATTTTATTGTTGCCAGTATTACAGATATGTCCTATTTTCTCACCTTTTTGTCCTACTCCACTCCACCCCTGCCCTACCCCAGGCCTTCCCCATGCTATTGTCTGTGCCCATGGGTTATGCATATATGCATATATGCTCTTTGGCTAATCCCTTCCTGTCCCCTTCTACCCCTCACTCCCCACTGAGATTCATCAGTCTGTCCCATGCATTCCTACCTCTGGACCTATTTTGTCTCTCAGTTTATTTTGTTTATTGGATTTCACATATAAGTGAGATTATGTGATATTTGTCTTTTTCTGACTGGCTTATTTTGCTTAACATAATAGTCTCTAGGTCCCTCCATCTGTCTTAGAGGGTAAGAGCTCCTTCTTCTTTTTTACACCTGCATAGTATTCCATTGTGCAAATGTCCTCTTATCTTTTTTAATGCCTCATAGTTCTCCAACTCTGCTAAGTAACAAGGTTGTTTGTACTTTCTTTTCCCATTTCATTCCAGTGTGTCTATAGAATTTATTAATTCAGCAGCTCCCAAAATATATGGCACTTTTTTTTACTTTTGTATAGTTTATTTCTAAAATCTTTGACACATTTAAATTTAATCTTTTTTTAACAAGAAAACTTAGACAAAAAGTTTACAAAAAGTATAGATGACTTATTCAAGGTCACAAAGTAAAAGGACTGCAATATACATTTCTATGTCCTATCAAGTTCACTCTCTCTATATATAAGCAAGGAAGGATCTTAAAGGCACGGTGCTAAGAATCAAAGAAACAGATCAATACACATAATGCAAAACCATTTACAGTAATTAAAAGTTCAGGCATTATTAAAGTGGCAATACACATTAAATAAGGTAAGGCATTTGCTTTCATGGATGCGGGAAGGGAATGGAAGTAGAACATGGGGGAACGTGTAATAACTAAAAACATGAGGAGAGACATTGCATGGATCCAATATGGTAATGAGCCATGAACTGAGTATAATTTTCTATTGATTCCTTCCTTTGAGTAGCCTTTTATTACAAAGAATAGAGCTATTCTTCTGTCACTCATAATCCAAACAATCCTACTAAATGCAACTTATACTTAAAACTTTTGCACAAGTTTGTAACATTAATTGGTCATCTAAGTCAAATGGAGTGTGCAGACCTCATCATGATAGCATGTAGAAAGGAGAGAAAGGTGCCAGCGAATGCAGAGAGGGGGAGGTACCACCATCCTTTAGGCAGAATACCATACTAGTTTTTCTAGTTGGTATAGTCATGACATATAAACACAAACTCTGTGTGGGAGTGCAGAATAGAACAGGATCTCAATGAAAATGATGGGCCACGGTGCTCACTTTGGTAGCACATATGTTAAAATTGGAACCATACAGAGAAGACTAGCAGGGCCCCTGTGCAAGGATGACATGCAAATTTGTGGTGTTCCATTTTTTGTTTTTTGTTTTTAAAAAGAGATGTATCGTAGACCAGTGTCCTCACAAATATGTCATCTTTCTTAAGAAATCAAGGCAAAAATATCCCTAACTCCTCTTACTGTTTTATGATAGTCTCTTCTTGTGCCTTTAAAATAATTTATAATTCATATTATTGAAATTATAGATAATGCCAAAATACTCTTACAGAGCTTTAAACATTAATAGTGGGAATTTACTAAAAGAAAAAAAATAAAACTTAATCAAGGACAAAAATATCAATTATATTTAAAGATATGCTATTAAAGTCTTCTGTAAATTTTGTAAATAATATTTTATACTCTTTTCCAGCATAGAATAAATATGTTTTGCTTCTGTTTACTTGGAAAATAAAAGAAATATATTTTTAAATGTCTGAAGAAAAAACAAATTCATAAATAGATTAAGATAAAAGATTTTAAGTATAATTGATTTTTTTAAACAAAGTGACTTATATTGATTTTCCACACTCACTGCTTAAAAAGCATGCATTTAACAGGCATTTATACAAAATATACCTCGGTGATATTATTTATACTTTACAGTTGATCAAATCAACAGGGAAGACTATTGACCTACTTGAGGTTATGTAGTGGATCTAATTGAAACCACAAAGTTTCAAAGGTAGTTCTCAAATATCATCTAGAAGTCCATGATACAATGGGAAATTAGTTCTCTATTAAAAAGGGAAAAAATTTCTAGATTCTTTCAGCTATGTTATGATCAATTATTCTCTTCCTCTGTGCTTTAACATAATTTATAATCATATTGGTGAAATACAGATGCCATACCAAAATTCATCTCTTTTCTCTTCTGCCTTTCAAATGCATTTCCACTTCTGAGGACATTATCTTTACTAGAGTAACATTTTTCCTTAAAAAATACTGCCTCTAAATTTTAAACTATTCCCTAGTTTGCTTATGTAACTTTATCAGGTAAACTACAATTTTTAATCTGCTCCCAGAAAAACAGCACTTCAATTTTCTCAGGTATCTCCTCAAATATGTTTATGTCATGACTCTGAGTAAAGTTCCAGTACCAGCGATGCTCTCCTTTGCACTAAGAAACACCTGAGACTTAAAGTTCCATTTCTTTTTTTTCTTTATTGATTAAGGTATTACATATGTGTCCTTATCTCCCCATTGCTTCCCACCCCTGCCACTCATGCCCTCACCACCCTGGTGTCTGTGTCCATTGGTTAGGCTTGTATGCATGCATACAAGTCCTTTGGTTGATCTCTCCTCCTTACCCTCCTCTACCTTCCCTCTGAGGTTTGACTGTCTGATCGATGCTTCTCTCTCTCTGGGTCTGTTTTTGTTCATCAGTTTATGTTGTTCATTATATTCCACAAATGAGTGAGATCATGTGATATTTATCTTTCTCTGACTGGCTTATTTCGCTTAGCATAAAGCTCTCCAGTTCCATCCATGCGGTTACAAATGATAAGAATTCTTTCTTTTTTACTGCAGCGTAGTATTCCATTGTGCAGATGTACCACAGTTTTTTAATCCACTCATCTGCTGATGGGCACTTAGGCTCTTTCCAAATCTTAGCTATGGTGAATTGTGCTGCTATGAACATAGGGGTGCATATATCCTTTCTGATTGGTGTTTCTACTTTCTTGGGATATATTCCTAGAAATGGGATCCCTGGGTCAAAGGGGAGTTCCATTTTCAGTTTTTTGAGGAAACTCCATACTGTTTTCCACAGTGGCTGCACCAGTCTGCATTCCCACCAGCAGTGCAAGAGGGTTCTTTTTTCTCTGCATCCTCTCCAGCACTTGTCATTTGTTGATTTGTTGATGATAGCCATTCTGACAGGTGTGAGATGGTACCTCATTGTTGTTTTATTTGCATCCCTCGGATGGTTAGTGACTTTGAGCATGTTTTCATATGTCTCTTGGCCTCCCTTATGTCCTCTTTCAAAAAGTATCTATTTAGGTCCGTTGCCCATTTTTTGATTGGGTTGTTTATCTTCCTTTTGTTAAGTTGTATGAGTTCCCTGTAAATGTTGGAGATTAAACCTTTATTGGTGATAACATTGGCAAATATGTTCTCCCATGCAGTGGGCTTCATTTCTTAAGAGTGATTGAAATACAGGGACAAAAACAACTTTCAATGGCAACAGAGACAAAAATATTGGGTCCATTGTGCCATTGAAACCAGGCGAATACGGTGTTATAGTTTATTAAAAGCCCTTTATGTTACTACGTGTGCACGTTGTTTCTTTTACTTGTGGTAATTCAGGGGTCTTTCAGGTTCTCTTCAAGCCTCATATGCTTTACTTTGTTGGAAGTATGATTGCTCCAAATCCCTTGCCGCCTCACTTACATATTCACTAAGCAGCCTTTGTTAACTATTGTTGAAATGTTCATATACTATGAACTGTAATATGAAACAGGAACTGTAATATGAAACAGGAAAGAGGCCAAAGGGTATTTTTCCTAGAGCATGTAGAGACTGTGGCATGTTTTTCTATTTCCCATTGTTATTTATTTGTTTAGAGATTATTATCTTTTAAACATTTTTAGGGCAAATCTTTGGGATTCCATTGGATTTTCTATTTAAATCCACTAGTTTGAATCTGGAAAATCATACACCAGAACATTCTCTGTAGAACATTCCACACTCAGTAACCTAGGGCAACTACTGAGCATCTCCACACGCCAGTTACTGCATTTGTCAAATGAAGCAAATCCCTCCAATGGGCACATTCGTTTAAAAAACCATTCATGTAGTTTATATCTATAGTCAAAATAGTAAAATTGTGGGTCCATATGTACCAGTCAAGATTATCTAATTCAAAACCCCTCATCTCATGTGAGACGATTGTAAACCTGATCTAGTAATAATGAGTGTATTTTATTCATATTAGAAACTAAAGTGATTTCAAGAATATTTGAATCAATAAGAACCTTTATAGTTAAGCTATGAGAGGTTACCTCACCTTTATGTGGAATTATTCTACAATACTTTATGGAAGCATGTTTTCAATTGTGTCTGACATAATAAATCAAAACTGTTCACTAAACCATGAAGTAAATAAATGTCACCTTGTGCATTGTGTAACTCTGATATGAGACCCATAAACTCTTTAGAATTTATTAATACTATTATTTTATTTGCTTTATATTGGATTTCCATTCCTGAGTAAAATGTAATCTCCATCGAATTATTAAAGATCATACAGATTTGTGCTGTTTCTACTTTTATGTTTGGTTTGGCAGCAGGTTCTAGTTCACATACTTTAATATAAATTAAATTCAGGTTTCTTTTATTACCTGGGCATGTTCCAAATAGCTTACTCTTCACTTTTGTTCAGGCACCAAAACGATTACTCGGGGAACCAAGTGGGCTGTTCTAGAGCAGTTCTTTGCATTAAGCAGACACAGCAAAAAGCCCAAAGAAAGCCTGTTGAGATGCCATAGGTGATGGCTCATGCGTAACCTGATTGTAGGAATTCTACACAGCTCCAATGGTGGAAGGGAGCAAAAACACACCACGAAGAACTGCCCACTTGCTCTTTTTGTTATATATTATGCTCTTCCTTTGCCCAGATGTTCTGTGATGGGTGATGGTGGGATATTTAAGCACACACCTCTATCTGAAGTTATTCTGTCACCACTCATACTGAGAGGGTTATTTACTCCTAAGTTCAGTGCCTTTCTAACTTTTGATCATGACCCATATAGTAAAGCATTTTGTACCAGAAACTAATCTATACCCACCTGAATATATAGCTGTGTATCTGTGTGTAGGTAAAACAAACAAAAACTTAACGAAATCAGTATCTTTACCATATGCACTACAACTATATGTCCTTTCTTCTATTCCGTTTCATTCCATTATATTAAAACGGACTGAAATGACTGGTCGTACAAGTATTAGTTTGAAATACTGACCCTACCCTGAGAGAAGGGTTTAGGAACCTCTTTCCTCGGCAGTCAGAATAAGGGTTGGGCCTGATGGAAAATATGAGATTGGCCCATTTAATGTTTAGCAATCCCCCTTCTCCTTCCTTTCCTAAAATGTAATCCCCCACCACTCCACCCCAAAGGGTTTAACCGTTGGTGAAAGAGTAATTTTAGGAAGAGTGATTTTAGTGGCATAGTAGGGGTGGAATTCAATTACCAGTGAGTTGAAGAGAGAATGGGAGATAACTAAATGAAGGTCAATGTCAGGAGTTTCTGATAAGGCTTTTCCTGGGCATAGAAGAGAGATTTAAGGAGGTGAGAGTAAGGGCACTATATGAGGTAAGAAATGCAGCAGAGGAGGAATGGAAGTATGAAGATAGCTTTAGACAGCAAGATTATCTTTTTCAGATCAGAGAAAAAGAGGCGAAATTGTATGGGTGTAGATGAGTGTGTATGTGGTGGTAAAATTATGAGAAGGATGAAATCCAACACATTAATGCCTGAAGACCACTCTTTTTCTTTTCTTTCCTTTTTTTAAGTAGAACATACTAGAAGTGAAGGTGATCTGGGTGGGGCAAAGTGCTTAGGAGAGATACTGCCTTTCTGTCAGTTCCCAAAGATGAGCCCCTTTTCACTCCCTGCTCTCCCTCTTCCTCTTGGTGTATCTACATAGTTGCTATTACTCTGCATTTTTATATGTGTCACTCTATAGCTGTGGATGTGTTGCCCCTTTTTCTGTTCACTTCCCCAAATGGTTTTATTTTAATTTTATTACTAAAACTATAAAGAATTAAGAAACAAGTCAAAATGAAAATATAATATTGGTTATGTCTAATTTACATGATCTAGTTAAAGAATGCTTATTGCTATACATATACACGGTGTCCCCCCCAAAATGTATACACACTTAACAGATGATAGCTCCATTGATGTTTCTTTCTTTTCAGATTTAACCTATTGGAATTAAATAATTATTCAAAGTGTGTATCCAGTGTGGCTCAGCGGTTGAGCGTTGACCTAGGAACCAGGAGGTCACGGTTGGATTCCTGGTTGGGGCACATGCCCGGGCTCG